TGATCCAACCCAGTACTAGCAAGGTGTGCTTAACGAAGTGGCAGGTGAGGTCCACTCAGTGCCTGATTTGTGTGTTTTCCATTACTTTAACTAGATCTTTTTAACATAAAGTGATGTAGAAAAGTATCAAACATTTCTAAAAATACGAACAAAGTACAGGAAATTCGGCCAGTGATGCACAAAATCTTTCCCAGATGTGTTCCACAACTTGTCCTTTCAATACTGCTCAACCAAAAACCTACGCTGATGCAACACAGCAGCACGCTGAATATAAAAACTCCCAGCTCACAGAATGCAGGAAGACAGAGGAGAGATGAAGTACAGAAAAAATAAACTGCAATGAGTTCCCACCTCGTTGTCCATCTAATCAGCCTGCACTCATCCACTTCAAGATCCCACATTACTTAAACCACACACTGTTCCTACCGTGCACTCTCCCTTCTCCAAAATCCAGCCTTAGCTCCCTTCTCTAGTCACTTTCTGGCAGTTCTGTCAAACCTCTCTCTCTTGCTACACCAGTCACCTTCACTGCTGCTAAAACCCAAACACACTAACAGCACGAGTATTTGTAGAGTGATGGCAGACACTGTTTAATGTGGTTCTGTGTCTTGCTAGTGGGGGCTAATTTATCTTTTTATAACAGCTTTACTGTTAAAAAGCTCCAGATGTGTTTTAAATCAGCTCCTTTGTCTCATTTCCTAGGAAATAAAACTAATGAAACAAAAGACAAAGAAAGGAAAGTGACAAAACGTCTGCAATAAAACTATATTTGGTCATATCCCTACGAGTCACAGTAAAGCAAACTGACCCTGTGTGACAGACTGCGAAGCTACAATGACTCACAAACTCAGACACATGTAATGAGTGAAGAAATAAGAGTGAACACGACTGATTTACCGTCAGTTCCAACCATATTCTCCACATTTATTATCATTTAATAAGATTGCATAAGTTAAGGCTTTTAGCAAAGGTGACTATAATTGTTATAAAATGATACAGGAAGTGAGAGATGATGAAGAAAAGGGGGAGAAAGCAATAGATCTAACACTGTTCTCAACCACAAGAAAAAAAATGTGCGCGCATCCGTCTATCTGTGCGCACACACACACGCATACCTTTGATTTTACTCATCGCAAGATTGCCACCTTTACACGTTTCTTGTAAGCCTCTACACTTTTAGCAGTAACCCGTTCAATATATGCGGACTACTGTAGGAAAGCAGATTGCAGAACAGGAAATGAGCAGTTTGTGCAGTTTGGATCCAAAACAAGTGTAGTCTAGTCAATTATGACCACTTCTCTTTAAAAACAGCACAAACAATGAGGAAAGACTGATAGGCGTGATAGATGGGCCACCAAATAAATAAATAGTGAGAATAAATAGTAAAAATGTGTTGAGATTGATGTAGTGTCCTCAGCTTCAGGAAAATGTGATGCACATAAAGCTCCCGACTAACATTTTCTGTTATTGTACAGGTCAGTCCTTTACTAAGAACTAAAATACTCATTCATTTATGGATAGCATTTGCATGTGCCTAGTTGAAAAGTGGAAAATAATGTGAAAATTAAGCTTTAATATACTTGGTCTGCTCTTGGTTAGTCTGCAACCATTCGCTTGTACTGTGCAAAAGTCTTGAGTTACCCTCTTTTCTTTGTATGTTGCATCTGGGGAGCCAGACTGTTTTGTAACCTTTGAAAGTGGTCTAGTTCTCTTGGAACATGTTTCTTTCTTTGGTTGTTTGTTCCTTTTTTCACTCAGGAATGTCCACACACTATTTTTAGGGCCACTTAACACTGACCAAAGAATCATTCAAGCATAAAAAGGGATCAAAGTCAAAGGACGAACCAGTGTTGTGCCTACATAAGACACAGAACTGAGCAAAAACCCATTTTTTATTGTATTTAGCTACTTTTTTACAAGCAGCCTGTCTAATAAACAAATAATTTGCTTGTATTTCTTTAGTTAAATCTAAGAAAAATATCAAATATAACCTAGTTTGACAGGCATAAAATAGGATTTTTGTAAGATGATTCCAAAAGAGCTTTTAGCTGAAAACATGGCATATTTAGGCATAGTGTGCAGTGTGTCCTAAAACAAATTTGAGGAAGCTACAGCTACAAAACTACAAAAGAAGAACTGTCAAGCCTAAAAAACTCTCTACAGCAGACGGACACTACTGGAAACTCATATCCTCAAAAACAGGAAAAAATGTGACCAGAACAAGCAAAATGACCTGAGAGATGCATCTGACCCTTCAGCTGATTCATCTACTGTTCACTGAAGCATTATCAGAAATGGTCTCAATGGCTGAAAATTCTCAATAAGGGTGAAACAGGGAGAAAAAGCTGAGGGATGCCAAATTACACCAGAACTGGACTGAAAATCAGTGGGAAGGATGGGGTGATGATTCTAATCTTAAAATGTATAGAGAAGGTCAGGACAGCAGTACCACAGTGAGTGTCTACAAGTTTAAGTTTAAGATTTTAAACCAAAGTATTACTAAACAAAGAAAGCAGTACAAAGAAAGAATTTTTAAAGCATTAGAGAACAGGAAAAACAAATCATTTAGGGGTTATGATTAAGCAAAACCTCTCAAAGTACAGAATTAATCAAATAATCAGTAAACATGACTGTAAAGAAAACAGCACTGCAGATAGCATGGCATTTAAGTGGGTTAGTGTAACAGGGTGTTAAAGTGTTGTGGTTATTACAGTTGATAAAGTTGTGGGGTACAAGGTGACAACACTTCCCTTTGAATGCAGGCGCAAGTACTTTTTATGAGTATTTGTGCACAAGCGCTTTTGAACAGGCCTACCTGCTGCAGCAGCAGAGACACTGGTCACCAAGATGGACAGAAGCCACCTTGTTATAGGTCTGGCCATCACATTTAGACAAGGGCATCTAGTGCCTGCGAAAAGCCCAAATTCATCAGGAACTCTCACATACAAAATAACAACAACAACAACAATAATAATCAATCACAAGACATAGTCAAAAACTCTGTTGGTCTTACAGAAAGAGTTCACGCATTGACCTGTAGCTGCAACATGTGGGGTAACTACATCCGTATCACAAATACAACATCTGGCATAAATAGCCCAACTGCAGACAGACTGACAGTTTCAGACTTCCTCTTGGGTGCAGTGGAGCGTAAAGTCATTTTGGTGATTAACAAAAATAGGCGTATTGCCAGATAGGAGGGAGCAGCTTTGTGATAAGTACCGAATTACCAGACACTCGACATTTTATTCAGTGTCAAATTCTATTAAACCTTAATTATGATCTCTTTTTTTTTTCTAAGTAAATATTAAGTATTATTAGGGTACAAATGATTTACCTCCGGGTGAGACACGCTGAGATGTGAGCCGCCCATGCTCTGCAGGAACACGCAGCTTTTGTTTTAACTGAGAAACTTGCTGTGAAGTTCAGAAATTTCTCCTCTCCGCAGTTACCGATTCGCTCCACCCAGTTGCTGGAATTGCCAGTGACGTCAACTCACCCGCGCGTGCTCGCCGGCAGCTAGTCGTGTCAGTTCTTCCCACACACTAACTCGCTGCAGGTCCCGAAACGTGTCTGTCGTAGCTACCCTGTATTTTTTTTTTTTTTTTAATTACGCAAACGCTTTTCATAACTTCAAGAAAAGAAAGAGAGATATCACGTGACAAAAAGTAGCGTAAGATATTTAGGTTACTGAACTTTGAGGTAGTTTTGTTTTGAATTTCTGCCGCTCAAACGTGAGCACGTGTATGAAAGTGTCTAATTAAAATGACAGCTACTAACCTGAGTGTATAAAGCATTTTGGGCTTATATAAACTTTTGAACACACCATAATTCCCTCTGTTTTAAAGTCGGTTACCTGTTTTAAGAAACACGTTTGTGTCTGCTTGTTTCCTTTTTAAAAGAATATCCTGAAGGTCGTTTGCAACCTTTAAAAATCATTATAGGAAAGTTCTCTAAACGTATTCATGTGAAATCTATGTGTCCTAATGGTCATTTGAATTAAAAAATATATACACTAGCCATTTTATTACAAATCTGTATGAAGTGGATGGTGTTTGTGATAGAGCAGTAGAATAGTAATATCAGTTTGCTAAAGCTAAACTGTTAGCTAATATAACATTAGACCAACTAAAAAAATATGTGGCACATAAAACACAAATCTCAGTAACATGTGTTAACCTGCATCAGAGGCTCTTCGTGCATGCATTTTCAGAGGGTAGGATGTTTACATAACATGAGATATTGTTCTTTTATGTGACCCCTTGTGAACTTGTTGACCTAGATAAATAGCATCAGTGATCAAAGCTAAAAAAAACCCCAAAGCTAACTAAACTAAACCTAATACTGAAACTAATAAATAGTAAACTGAAACTAAACAGACATTAAAACCTAAACTGAAAGCAGCATATCAACTGTGGAAACCGACTCTGCAAATATAATTTCCCCCAAGTAAAAGTCGTTTTTATGCTGCAGTGACTTAAGTATCGTACATTTTAATGTTTGCCCCCCTTCCACCAATTACAGCATGTTTTTAAGGAAGTGGAAATGCCTCAAAAGCTAAGTAGGCCACAGCAGCATATTTCATAGGAAGCAAAGCTGCTGTGTAAGCATTGGGGACTGAGGTAAAAATACACATCTACCTGTCACTTTATGTTTGTTATAACACAGATTGTAATGAATTTTCCATTCATTTATCCCTCCGTGTCATGTGACGAGTGTGTTTGTTAGTTTTTTAATGAACTTGTTCTCAAATGATTTTAGCAAAGCATTTTATTCCCTTGAGCTCTCATCAGTTGCAGCAGAGAAAGTTACTGGTAATGTAAAAAGAAAACAAGCAAAGACGTCATAAAACAAACGTGTCTCTTTATATATCATACTGGCCACATAAAGATTGATACTGAAAATTAAAGACATTAAACAGACTTTACTGAACAGACACACGCAGGATATAAAATTCACAAAAAAGTGAATAAAGAAGAGTGCGTGTGCATATGTGTGTCTCTGTTTGTTTATTAAGGTGTACAACATGCCTGGCAGGCAGCGCGCTCAGATTGCATATATCGACCCTCAGCAGAGAGAGCTGATCTCGCTCTTGCTGCAGCCCCACTTGCAGCAGGCGTTGGAGAGACCCACCACCACATCGCGGCCTTTGCGGTCAGCTTTGCGAAGCGCCTCCAGTATCTCTTCGGTGATGAATGAACGGGTGGAGCGGCTGAACGCTCCCTCCTGGTTGTCTCTGGATGCGGAGCTTGGATCTGTGTTTCTCTGAAGGAGACTCTCCACCGCAAAATTGTGATTCAAGCCCTCTGAGAGTTCATCCTGAGGGGAGGTGAAGGGGTCCTCTGAAGCATCTGTGGGAGTAAAAACAATAAAGTATGAAGGAATGGGTTTCTCTTGCATCCAAGCAAAATATGTGCATTATTTGCATTTCATTATTGCTGGAGAAGACACGATGGAAGGAGCGACGGTGGGATGCCACTGGATCGTTGCCAAGTATGCCTGGTGGGTTAGATGCTTAAATGTACATTTGGTGGTTTATAGCTCAGAATAGTAAGCGCACATCATTATAGTAAATGAAAACCAAGGCACTTTGATTCAGAATATCACATTTTCAGCCTTTCAGGGCTGAGAGCAATTACATTTTAAGCTGTAGTCATTTACTGAACAGTTCATACATTTTTTTGTAAGTAATAACATAATTCAGTGGATACACTCAAATTCAATCTTAAACAACAATACAGATAGATAGATAGATAGATAGATAGATAGATAGATAGATAGATAGATAGATAGATAGATAGATAGATAGATAGATAGATAGATAGATAGATAGATAGA